CCCCAAAACCCCAAAACCCCAAAACCCCAAAACCCCAAAACCCCTACAGTATGGACTCCTTTGGAATTAAGAATTGGCAAAGCATTTTGTTAATTATTAGATATATTAGCGATTTATAAATATGTCTTCAGATAAGTTTAATTAATTCTACAGGTAAATAGTTTTGACCTCATTTTTTCTAGTGTCTGCAAGATGTTCATTGGAGGCCTCTCACCTGTGACAAATGATCGTAAGTTTCTATTTTTAATGATCTAAAAATTAGATTCTTTGAGGCAATACTTCGAGTAATTTGGTGAAATATAGGATTTAGTAATAATGAGGGATAAAGACTCAAGTAAAAATTATTAGAGCTTTTTAAGCGGATAAATAGATACTTCCTGAGGCTTCGGGTTTATCACCTATGCTAATTGTAATATTCTTAACAATGTCCTAAGATCCTAGCCTCATATTATTGATGGAAAACAAGTAAGAAATATGCACGATAACTTAATCTCCCATTTTATAGGTCGACTGTAAGCCGGCAATACCCAAAGAACAAACTTAAATGACCTCACAGAATTTGCAAAATTCGAATCACAGCTAGCATATAGGGCAAGGGATCAACAACTAGAGTAATTAGAACAAGAAATAGAAAAATTCAACTAGTCAGGGCAAAAACCAAAATCAAAAATTTAAGCAGCAAATATAGCAATATCAGAAGTAGATATAAAAATAATAATAGCTGATAAAAGAGTAGGAGATAAAAATTCATAAACTTTCTTATATTCCTGATTAATCTACAGAGAAGAATAACAACAATCTTCAAGAAGACAGAAATGATATAAACTTCTCAAGCCAGTAAAAGCTGGATGATTATGATTCAAGCTACGAATAATCTTCTCTTACCCAAAATTATCAGAATTACTCTTATAATTAATAGTAACCTGCGAAAGATCAATTAGGAACAAGTGACTTTGTTGAAGTTTAAAAAACCAATTCAACTTATTATGAATCTGACCAATAAAGCAAAATTTAGAGTGATCCGAGTCCTGCAGTCTCATAAAATATGAGTTCAAATTCTTCACTGTCCCAGAATTCTTCTCCTTACATTTCGTTACAAAATTCAATATTAGATATAAGCGAGATAAAACAAAAGCAATAAGAGGGCTCAATACTAGATGTTGCATTGCTTGATGCTTAATATCGAAAAATTTTTGTTGGTGGACTTCCCCACAATTTAGCCGATGAGGATTTCAAGCTATACTTTTTATAGTTTGGAGAGATCGATGATTGCGCTATACTTAAGGACAAAAGAACCGGAAAACCGAGAGGATTTGGATTTGTCACCTATAAAACAATGGACACAGTTGACGTGGTTATGAAGGTTCGAGAGCAACATACGATACAAGGCAAATGGGTTGATTGCAAAAGAGCAGTTCCAGCAAGTGACATTAAATCTATTAATGTAAATGAACAGATAAGATAGGTAGTAAGTAGCATACCAGGAATTGGTTAATAGACTAAGAGCCAGCAGCCTAATTAAGATAACAATTAGATTAATGCATAGAATTAAGCAGTAGGCATAACACATCATGATCAAAATTAAGGCTACAAAAATTTGGGCTACAGTCAAAATTAACAACAATAGCAATTGCCACTTTAACAGCAACAGCAATAACATCCCTTTTAGTAGCAGCAATAGTAATTTTAGCAGTAGTAGTCATAGCAGCAATACCAAAACAATTATCAGCAAGCCAATACTTCAACTTAAATGACTCAAACTTATGCTACTGGAATTCCTGCTAATAATAACAACAATAACTATAATGGGAACAATATGCAATAGAATATGAACTAAAATATGCAATAACAGTAATAGCAGTAGTAGAATTAGTATTCTCAGATGCAGCAATAGCAACCACAATACTAATAGCAACAGCCATAGTATTAGCAGACACAGCAGTAAAATATGCAAAACTACTAAAATAATAATAATAACTAGTACGCACAGCAGAACCAATAGTAGATTCAAAACTAACAGAATAACATGCAGCAAAACATGCAATAAAACAATTATTAGTAGAATATGTAAAGCATGCAGGCACCCTAATAGTAATAGAACATGCATATGAATATGAATATGCAACAATAGAATAATAATTAGTAGAACAACAATATGTAGCAGCAGTAATAAATGATGAACCAGAACAATAATTATGTGTCTCAAAATTAGCAGAATCAAGATTTCTAGTAGAACAACACATACCAGTAACCAAACACACAGCTAAATTCACAAAGCCAGCCTTTTGTACCTTAAAATTCAAAGAATCAAGGAACATTCTAGACTAACTTTAACAGCAACACAAATAATTTTAACAACAACAATAACAATGCACCACCAGGATTTGCCCCTCATCCCTAGTTCAAAGGATAAAATAATTAGCCCTAGCAGCAGATATAGATGAACTAGCAATAGCAAAATTTCCAAAATCAGACTTAATAGATTTCACAACAACAGTAGCAACCGAACCAATACAACTTCCAATCCTTCAATAATCAGTAAAGCAACAATCAGTAGCAGCAAAATTAATACACCTAGCAAACTAACCAGAACGATGTAAATAATTATCCATAGCAAACATAATTCATAGGGGGATTCCCCTATTCTTTAACTTTCAAACAGTAATAACAACAATTTTAATTTTAGCAGTAGCAGATGCAGTAACAACACTAGTAGTAGCAGTAATAATAGCAGATGTAGTAGCACTAATAACAGCAATATTAATAACACTAATAGCAAATTTAACAATAGTAGCAATAGCAGTAGCAGTAACAGTAGCAGTTTTAGCAGAATCAACAGTAATAGCATCAACAATAGCTGCAATAACAATAATAGTTTTAATAATAACATCAGCAGCTTCAGCATCAGTAGCATTAACAGCAACAGCTATAGTAGCATCAACAGTTGTAACAATAACAACATTAGAACCAGTAGCAATAGCAATAGATGTACTAACAGCAATAGTAGCAAGTAAATCAATAGTAGCAATAGCAACATTACAATACTATGATGGGTCCTGGAAGCTCAGAGAATGCACCAGGTACCCGCTTTTATACTTATCTTTATAATATAGTTCAGTAGAATCAAGAGAAAATGAACTAGAAATAGTAAGAATAAATGGAGTGGCATATTTAAAGCATTAATAGTCAATATGAAGGTTTAAATGAACCTGGAAGCAGTAACAAAGGTATCATCAATACCTCAGTCATGATCAACAACAACAACAACTACAGCAATAATGCTAACGAATCAATCTAAGGATAGCAATAGATTCAATAGCAGCAATTCTAGCAGCAGAAGCAATAGCAATAGTAGCAGTAGTAATAGTAGCAACAATACCAAGCACATTCTTAATAGTAGGCTAGAATGATTTATTAAAGAAATGCTAGAGATTAGATGAAAGACAAGATTAAATAGGACACTATTGATGACTTGAATGAATAGATTCAAAGAATAGAATCAAGAAGAAGTCAAGAAGAAGAGAAGTTCGGAGAGAGCATGATTGATGTCAATTGGCAACAAACTGATAACAAAAATACAATAGGTGGCTTTTATACTGAAATTTAAACTGGTAATTATTAATTTGAAAAATTTTAGCAAACATTCCTAACGATATCGATGTAGAAATACAGTCGAATGGACAGTAACTGAATAGAGGCAGCATGAGCCAACCTAATAGAAATAGGGGCTCGATGACAGATAGCTAACTATCAGGGCTTATGAATAATTTTCAGATGATTAGCTTTAACGAAGATTAGCATGCAAATAATCCTCAAACTTTAGATCAGGTAAGCAATGAAGTTGATGAAGATTAATAATCTAACTCTTCATAGTCTGAGAGATTCGATAATGAGATTCGAGTTAATTATGTCTCATAGCCAAATAATTTGTTTGACTCACAAATCAGAAGACATATTTAAGGGAACTAGCTTGAATTCCAGTAGTAAAAAGATGATTGGCAAAATCAGGGCACTCCTTCAAGCAATAGAGGGTCCTCTGATATGATGGGAAATTCAAGAATCGAGTATGGTCAATTCAATAATAGCAATTAAATTGAATAGAAACAAGGCGGTCCTAACAATAGAACTGATAGGACATTTAAGCCATATTGAATAAAAAAGCAGCATAGCCAGCTTTTTATTATGTAGAAGTGAATAGCACATACATATGGAACTTTAAAAAGTAACGTTTAGGTGAATAGTTAAGCACACTTTTATAAGTCTATAAAGTATGGACGTTAATTCTTAATTCTTTAAAAAGCATATTAACCTTATCTTTTGTTTTTAAAACTAGCATTAATTATTCATATATTTTGATTATTTAAAATATGGTTAAATTTTAATTGGAAAAACACTTGTTAACTTGATAATAAATAACAACCTTAATAACTTACTCTCTCATAACAATAAATTAAAGATAAACTTAAAAGCATTCTTATTTATTCAATAGGGCAGCTTTTAGGCTATCTCTGTAAAAAACTCTCCATATGAGATTTTCCCATCATTGTCCTTGTCAATCTTATTAAAGAGAAGGTCAATCTCCTTTTAAGTTGCAAAGAATTCATGATCTTCCAAGAAGTTCTTTACATCTCTTTGAACAATAAAACCTTTATTTCCATCATCAAGAGTTTAAAATGCTGCACTGATACTGAATTGAGGACTCTAGGTTAAGTTTATTCTTATCTCTTCAAGATTGCTCTCAAATCTCAGCATGCTTCTAATTACATCTCCAAATTCAAGTTTTGTCCTTAGACTGATGGCTTCATCTGGGTGTCTGGCCTCATAATTTGGTCTTTTATTTGCAAGATGGTCGGCATAGATTTTATCCTTTGGAGTGAATGCATCAGTAAATTCTAGATACCTCAGTTTATAATCACCGTTCTTATCATATCTCTTAAAGAAAAGGTCAAGATCTTTCTTATTCATAACATAGATACCAAGTTTTTTGAATCCTTCTTCAAGATCTTGCTTGAAAATTTCTCCAGCTATAGTCTTATCAAAGAGTCTAAAGGCATCAAGGAGATTGAAGTCAGCTTTAAGTGAAATAGCCTGCTTTTACTTCTCAATCTCAGTTTCAAGTTAAATCATATTTTATAAAGCCTCAGCGAGATTCTCAACCTCATTTTCTTCAAGATAATGATTCTAATTAGATGATTGAGCTCTTCTTCCTACAATTTCATCATTATCCTCGAGATTTGCATCCTCATCATCACCCTTATTTGCCTTAATTTGATCTAGTTAATTAGCATTACTATTTCTAATATTGTTTTCATCATTAAATGAATCAAGATTTTCCTTTTCCTCTTCAATATCATCAAGGTTCATATATCTTTAATTATTAGTTTGTGCTGGTGATTTTGAGTACATTTTAATCTGTTCATTATTAGTTCTTGACATTGGTTTAGTAGGTGATGGAGTTGTTTCCAAACTTGCGATCTTATCATCTGTTTTGTCTAAAACTTGCTATTTATCAGATTGCTTGTTTTATTACTATTGATTTTACACTGGTATTCTCAATTAAATATTACTTTAGGCACTGGAAGATCTTTTCAACGGAGTAGAATGCTATTATCTCACTCCATAGATAATGAAATTTCTCCTAATCTCATCTTCCTAAGGATTCCTCTCTTATTCAAGGCTTTTATCATTGCTTGCATTTATCTACTGATTCAACTTTTACTATCTCTTTTCTGTTTTTGCAAATCTGGGATTCTATTCGAATTGAATATTAGACTTAGTATTAGCTCTTTGTGGAGTTTGGTAATTTTCTTAGAGTTTGAGTTTCATTCCATCATTTTATTTTTTAACCTCATTTTGCTGTTGACTCTGGTTTAAATCTTGATGAGGATGTGTTGAGGATGATCTGAGATTTTGATTTCCTTTGTTAAAAGTAAATTACTCAGAGTTCATGCTTTGAGACAATTAGTTTGGTACGCTTGCTGGAATTTTTTCAAGGTAGTTGCAGAACTCAGTATAAGTAATTCTTCCATCTTAATCCATGTCAATCCTACTGAAGATATTATCAGCTTCTAGAGAAGATGCCTGTATGCCATTTCTATTAAGAAAATGTTTGATATCTTCTCTAAGTATGCTATTTAGTTTGTAAGTATCGATTGCTCTATATGCATCTAGTTTTGAGAAATCATATCTACTTTTGATTTATTCTTTTTCAAGATTTAGTTTCTTGAGTCCCTATATCTCTAGATCCAAGATTTTAGCAATAGACAACTCTACTTCCAGAGCAAGTCTATCTCTGGACCCAACATATTCTTCATATCTCTCATTTGATCTTCTTGCAAGTATTTTATCGGTTCTTGATGCTAAAATACTCTTCAATTGAGTATCTTCCAAAAATCCATTATTGCTTTAATCAAAGGACTTAATAACATCTATCAGATCAACTGAGTAATAGTTGTAGGAATTATCTCTCAGAAAAGTTGCCAAATCATATGTGTTGATCTTCTTATTGCAGAATCTATCAATTCTCTTGAATGCTGCATTAGGCTGAAATCTGAAATGCTCATTCAATTTAATTCTTTCATTCTCAATCTAATAATTTAAATTTGAAAAGGAAATATTTTTACCAGTCTCTCATGCTAAGCTAAACTATGCAAGTGAGTAGCAAGCATTCTTTCAGTTTCTAGTCTCATCATTTTGTCAGAAAGAGATATTTATGCTAAATTAAAATTGGGAAATTAAAATAAAATTAAATTCTTATTTTTATAAAAGTTCCTTTAATCCCCAAATAGCAATCGAATTTAGAACAATGGGGTTTTGGGGTTTTGGGGTTTTGGGGAGATCGGAAGAGCACACGTCT